TTTTTTTTGAACATATTACAATAAATCAAGTTCATAAAAAATAAATGATTTAAAGTAGAAATTAAACCATGCATCCTAATAAAGTAAAAAAAAATCTAAAAAATAAATTTGCGTATAGATTAATTGCATATCAATTACCTCCAAAATGATGCCCCAATTTTACAAAAAAAAAAAAAAAAGCTCCAAAATGATAATTAAATTATAACCTACAAAAAAAGATACACATCATTAGTACAAGAAAACACCAATAAAACGAAAAAATAAATTAACTTAATTTAACAATTAAGTAAAGAACAATGATACATTCACCACCTTCCGTTATACACTCTGTTACACACACTCACTCTCCGTTACTTAATCTATTAACTCCAAACGCACCTAGGCTAGCCCTTTCTTTCTCTCTCTCCTTTCCTTTCTCCCTTTTGTTGTTCTGATTGACATTTTCTCTCTTTTAGACATGGAGTTGGGTGTGAAATGTTGAAAATTTTGGGAGTTTTTAGAGAGCGAGAAAACAAATGGAACTTTTGTGGGCTATAGGAACTTGATTTGGGTTCATTGGATTCTTAGGAAGCCAATATCATGGGTTCTTGGACAACCTTGTGGGTTCGCCGAAGAACTCAAAGAACCCACAATTTGGGTTCTCAGGTGATGTGGGTTCTACCGACGCACCCAATCATGAGTTCTACCAACAAACCCCATTGTGGGTTCCGATGCCTACCTGTTCTCTTTCACACTTTTGCTCGCTCTCAAGATCGATCATGCTATCACTTGTGCTTGGTGGTTCGTATCTCATCCTCTATTTTTCAAAATTTCCCTTTCGTTGCCTAGGAAGTTAGAGAAATTGAACAACTTGAAATTTTGTGCCTTATTTGGAGTGATTGTGGGAAGCTCTGAAAATGCCCCTATGCTGCTGGGTTCCTAAATCCTTATCTTCAACCTCTAAATCCTTTTATTTTCTCTCCCCTTCCCCAACACCAGATCTGGGTTCCTTTGTGGGTTCCCACTTGCAAAGCTTCATGCTTTGTGCCAGTGAAACTGACGATGATGAAGAAGAGAAAGATGAGGTTCCACATGATTAGTATGAGGATGGAGGTGAGGAGGAAGATGGATTTGGCGAGGATGGTGAATAGCAGGAAGGAGAAAGGAAAGGAGAGAGAAACAAAGGGTTAGGCTGGATACCTTTGGAGTTAACAGGAAATAACGAAGAGTGAGTGAGTGAGTGTGTAACAAAGTGTGTAACAAAGTGTGTAACGGAGGAGACTGTATGTATCATTTTTTTAAAGTAAAATAGAATTAAAAGGAAAGGAAAGGAATTAGTATTAGAGGAAATATAGAAAGATGAAGAGAAAAAATAAAATAAATTAGTAATCCAGTTAGTGAAATTAGAGAAGTGAAGAAGCAAAAGAAAAATGAAGAAGTTGGAAGAAATGAAGAGAAATGAAGAAGTTGGAAGAAAAAGAAAACTGATGGAGAAGTGAAGAAGAAAAAGAAAAAGAAAGATGAAGAGAAGTATAAAAGCTAAAGGAGTAAGGAAAGATGAACAGAAGTGCAAAGTTAGAGAAGTAAGGAAGAACTAATATAAAAAATGAGGCTTGATGCATTTATATAGGCTAAAAAATAATTTGGGCAAAATTACTAATCGAATTACATTTGGTGAAAATTTCAAGCGACCGCAGAAAATTGGGGGGGGAAAACACCAAATCCGGACAAATAATTTAATCAAAATAGTTTAGGCAGTATATTAAAAAATTAAAAAAAGTTCTTCGGTCAATAGTTTGACTAAATTAAGCTTAGCTGGAAATTAAAAATTTTCAACCTTTTTTTTCCAAGCAAAATTCAAAATTTTTTTATTATTTCGGTCAAGTTTTCAACCTTGTTTTCAATTGTGCAGGTTTCTCTTAATTTCCTGCTTCCTGCTGTTTTTTCAACCTTTGCATATGTCTTTATCCGTAATTAATATATACTACATCCGTCATAACTCATAACATAGATAATAAGTTCAATCAACATAGTTCTTCTGCTCAACTATTTACAAATATATATTAAAAAATCCAATCAAATAGAGACCAAATTTACCTAGAAGCACACAAAAATAAAACTTGGCATCAGATAATAAAGTAATGTATCACTAGATAGCTGAGCATTTATAGAGACTACCACATAAACATGCCCATGCATAATACGCAAAGAAAATTTTCATAAAATAATTAATTTATAATGAAACCGACTATGATCTCCCACCGGTCTTGGTGCCCCCTTCTCCTTGCATCATAAAGAACATCCACTTCATCCTTGTTACCTTCTCTTGTAATGTTAATTGGTTCTATTGAGTGGCATTTACATTCTCTTACAGTTTCGTTACAGTTTGCTACAACTGCACTATATACTGTGATGACTAAACAAAATTGGAAGGTATGGTATGCGAAGGACACTTGTAGTGTGAAACCCCTTACTTAGTAGGGTCCATATAAATGGACATTTCATAAATACATCAATCCTTGAAAGAACCACCTAAAACATAGGTCGAAAGTTAGGTATCAATCATTTTTGGCCTTTGAGTGTTGTCCTCCCCATATTCCTAAGTGGCTTTTACAATTAGTTGTTCTTGTAATAAATTGAAATAAAAAAAATTATATCAATTAATTTTCTCATGATATATAACTCTAAAAAATATTTGATAGAATTTCTGCTTAAAACATGACTTTTCCTCTATAAACAAAGTATAAAAACATATATACTCAAGTATATACTTGCAACAATGATATTCAATATAATTACAACCAATAAAATAAAATCATGTAAATTTTCATAATTTATAATGAATCTATAAAAAATTTAGCAAAGTTTTGTCTAAAAACTAAATTTTCCCTCTATAAACAAAATCTAAAAACATACTCAACTATATATATATATTTCCAAATATGATATGATATTCAATATTATTAAAATGCAATCTAATTTTACTTAAATGAATCAATTGAGGTGAAAGATCTATTTTAAGTAATAGCAGACATAGTAATGTATCATTTAATTGAACCTTCCAAGAAATAATAATAGTAAAAAAAAAGTACTTATAATATACTCCTAGAGTTGTTCATCAAGAAATATTGGCATTTTATCTTTATCCTTTAGATGGTGCATTTTTTTGGTTGGATCACATCAATGAATGATGGATACATGTGGTTAGGAACTTATTCTTTTTGCCATAACACATATTTAACTATTTTGTTAATTCACACAGACATTATAATTAACATTAAAAATGTTATATAAACTATGATATTAAACCTAAAACATAAAATTAATAATTTTTTAGCAATTTTTTTCACAAAGTCATTGTGATCTATAAATTCACTTGTGTGGGTTACCTTGAGGACTTTGGCCTGATTCTGCCTTGCTTA